GAGAGAGAGAGAGAGAGAGAGAGAGAGAGAGAGAGAGAGAAAGAGAGAGAGAGAGAGGTGGAGGTAGGGGTGTAAGGGCTGCATGTACCATGAATATGGAGGAGAGAGATCATCTTCATGGGCAGCCCACCTTAAAAAAAATTAACATTTATTTACTTGTATGTGGACATGTGTGTTGGCATAAACATGCACATTTTCCACAAGGCGTGTATGGTGGTCAGAGGATAACCTAAGAAGTCAGTTCTCCGCTTCCATCACGTGGGTTCCAGGAATCAAACTCAGGCTTGGTAGCAAATGTCTTTACCCACTGGACCATCTTGAGGACCCTACCTTGGTTTTGAAAGGGTCTCTTATCAGAACCTGGAGCTCACTGATTAGTCCAGGCTGATTGGCCAGTAAGTGGCAGGAATCCTCCTGTGTCCATCTCTTCCATGCTTGGATAGCAAGGGCGTGCCACCAAGTCTGGCTCTTTACATGTGTACTAGGGATCAAACTCACGTCCTTCTGTCTGAGCTTTTCCAACTGACCCATTCACCTTCCTCTCACCCCTAGGATCAATTCCTTTTCTTAAGATAGGGTTTGGCTGTCTGGCCCAGTCTGGCCTTAAGCTCAGGAAGCCCTTGTCTCAGCCTCTTGAATGCTGAGTTGTACAGGTCTATGCCACTGCTGTGGCATAATCCTTTTTTTACACTGTGGCTGTGTATCACTCTCATTATTAATAAAGAGCTGACTGGCCAATAGCTAGGCAGGAAGATGTTAGGTGGGAGAGCAAAATGGAAAGGATGCTGGGAAAAAGAAGGATGGAGACAAGGAGTCAACTCAGAGGAAGCAAGAGATGAACATGTCATTATGAAAAAGGTACTGCCACCTGGTAGAGCACAGGTAAGAAATATGGGCTAATTTAAGTTGAAAGAGCTAGTTAGTAACAAGCCTAAGCTATCAGCTGATCATTTACAATTAATTAATTTACAATTAATTTACAGTTAAGTAAGTCTCTGTGTGGTTATTTGGGAACCAGCTGGTGGAGCAGAGTTGACTGGTAGGACACAGAAACCCGCCTACATGCTACCATGTCCACCCACTGATTTTGCTTACCTGCACAGATTGGACACTTGTGTTTGAGTCAGTAAATTCTACTTGCTGCTCCAGATCACTGGAAAGTATTTGGACAGTTCTAAACACTCTCTTCACCCTACACTCTCCCCTGACCTCTCCTCTCCACCTGTCTGCCCTGTCTCTTCCTCAAGTATTTCTCATAAACTATCTATATTCCACAGTTTTCTTAAGGTACAGCTACTCCAATAATCTTCAGAGCCCTTGTGTAAATCAGATCTATGGGCAGGCATCCAAAACTGGCCCTGCTCGACTTCAGAAAATCACATCTACCCACAAAAATGGAGTAGGAGAAATAAGCCAAATTTTCAGTCCCCAAATATATTGTGGAATATTCCTTTACACTGATAGAAAGATATGCCACTGTGATTGGTTTAATAAGAAGCTGAATGGCCAAAAGCTAAGCAGGATTTCCAGGCACAGAGGATGCTGGGAAGAAGAAGGATGGAATCATCAGCCAGAGAGGAATCAGGAAAGCAGTATGGACAGACTGAAGGTAATAAAGCCACAAGCCATAAAGTAAATTAATAGAAATGGGTTAATTTAAGTTACAAGAGCTAGTTAGAAACAAGCCTAAGGTGTCAGCTGAGCTTTCATAATTAATCATTTTCTGTATTGTGATTTAGGAGCTGGCAGGAGGGACAGAAAAATCTGCCTACATGAACACCTTTCACTGAGTCAAACAAGTAAGCCAGAATGATACGCCAGACCCTTGTCTTAAGATGCATAGCCAGGCATGGTGGCATACACCTTTAATCCCAGAACTCAGGAAGCAGAGGCAGGAGGACATTTGTGAGTTCAAGGCCAGCCTGGTCTACAAAGTGAATTCCACGGACAGTGAGAATTGTTACACAGAGAAAACCTGTCTCAAAAAGCTAAAACCAAAGCCAAAACAAAACAAAAAAAGCATGAGGCACTGTAGCAATAATGCATGCTACTAGATGTAGCTCAATGTTTATGTCAAAAACCAAAAATGCTTGCTTGGGTTTATTTTTGAGACAGGGTGTCATGTAGCCCAGGCTGGTCCAGAACTTACTATGTAGACGCGGATGACGTCAAGCCCCTGAGCCTCTTGCCTCCACTTCCCAAGTACAAAGATTACAGGTGTGCACGACTACATCCAGCCTGAAAATTTCTCTTTCAGTGGGGCAGAGAGCTGTCAAAGCGTACACCTCGGGGAGAGATGGAGAAATGGCAGGGCTCAGATTTGTCAGTGCGGCTCTCCTCAGTGACTGAGGGACTGGTTCCTGGGCCCCCTGCAGCCAGCCAGCCCTCAGTTGTTCAAGCCTCTTCTGCATGTGACCCATGCAAATCATCCCACACACTTTACCTCTCTCAATTACCAGTGAAAACGATGGAAATGCTATATGAATGATTGCAAACCATTTCTGTTTCAGGAACAGTGGGAAGGAAAGAGCATGAGCATGCTTAGATCAGGCGCCTCTTTTTCCATAAATGTTTTCTTTAGATCCAGAGCTGGTGGTATCCGTGGAACCCGCAGAGATGCAGGGTAGAGTGCAAGTGAGACCACGGAGTTATGACATTCTGCTACTGGATTGCATCTCCTGATCCCAAGTCTCTGGGCTTAGTACTCCGTGAGTCATTCCTCTATCCAAAAGGTGGGTTGTCATGGACAATGCAAGGGCTAGGTGAGTGTTGCCACAAGGAAGACTTCGTTTTCTTGCAGTCCAGGCGGTTATTGTTATCCACAGAGTAAGCCAGAAGTTAGTCACTGCTGCCTTCCTGCACAGCTGTTCTTTATTTTATTACCACCACAGATTCAATCAAAAGAGGAGAAGGAAGTTTATTATTTCAACTAGTTTCTTTAAAACTGAAAAAAATCAGGAAATAAGCCTGCAGTCATAAAAATACATAAATTCAATCACAGCACCTCAGTCAGGAAAAGCATCGGCCCTTGCAAGGCAAGCAAACTGAGCAGCAGTCACCTAGTAGATATACATACCCCCCAGGGACAGCAATGTAGAGCCAAACTGAGCCCAGCCATTCACACACTTCCCAGTGTGGAGGGAGCCGGAGGAAGGGGTGGGTTGTGGAGAGCGCACAGCAAGGGGCACCTCTTTGCAGATGTGACTCCCAGCAAGACAGCTACAGAGCCATGCTCCCAGACAAATTTTCTACTTGGAATTAAAAAGAAAAGGGGCAGAGGCTTCTAATAAACTTGCTTGGTTTTCACAATAAAATCTGCTTATGTTTTTGCCAAGAATATGAGATCTTCAGGGTAGACTTTCAATGCCTTGATTTTAACACATACGATTTCTTGGGTCCCAGCATCTGGAGGAGGGGTGAAAACATAGAGGAGTGAGTGGGGTCGTAGGCACTACCTGTGGGCCACAGGCACCGCTGCTCCTGGACCTCAGGTCCACCTCCA